GGAGACAAATATAAAGCACAGCGCCGGTTTGTAGAGGCAAAGAAACTTTTCAATGGCGCACTCATCATCATGCACAAGCTTGGTTACAAACGCGAAGAAGCAGTGGCTCATCAAAGAATTGGAACTGTGTGTATGAACCTCAAGGAAATGCAGAAGGCAAAAAAACACCTCGAAAAAACACTCACCATCGCGATAGAAATTGGCCACAGAAAAAAAGAAGGGAGAGCGAACGGGAACCTCGGAACTTTGTTTCATTCCCTAGACGAATATCAGAAGGCTAAAGAATGTTACAGAAAAGCACTTGCCATCGCGATAGAAATTAGCGACAGACAAGAAGAAGGAAAAAGAAACGGGAACCTCGGAGAGGTGTTTTGTTCCCTGGGCGAGTATCAGATGGCTAAAGAATGTTACGGGAAAGCACTTGCCATTGCGATAGAAATTGGCGACAGACAAGAAGAAGGAAAAAGAAACAGGAACATCGGAACTGTGTTTCGTTCCCTGGGCGAATATCAGAAGGCAAAAGAATATTACAAGAAAGCATTTGCAATCGCGATGGAAATTGGCGACAGAAAAGAAGAAGAAATAATTAACGCGAATCTCGGAGCTGTGTTTCATTCCACTGCCGAAAATCAGAAGGCTATGGAATTTTACGAGAAAGCACTTGCCATCGCAATAAAAATTGGCGACAGACAGGAAGAAGGAACAATTAACGGGAACCTCGGAACTGTCCTTGAATCCATTGGCAAATATCAGAAGGCTAAAGAATGTTACGGGAAAGCACTTACCATCGCGATAGAAATGAGCGACAGACAAGAAGAAGAAACAATTTACGCAAACCTCGGAACTGTGTTTCGTTCCCTGGGCGAATATCAGAAGGCTAAAGAATATTACGAGAAAGCACTTGCTATCGCGATGGAAATTGGCGACAGACAAGTAGAAAGAATAGGAAACAGTAACCTACCTAATACTTGAATCTTGGGTTTGTTTATTGTGAGCTTCGAAAGTATCGGCGAGCTAAAGAATATTTGGACAAGGTAGTTGGTATCAGTATAGCAAGTGGTAACAGACGACTAGAAGCCCATGCTACAGGAAGTTTGGCAGCTGTTTTTGCTTCTGTGAATGACAATCAGAAAGCAGAAGAACATTTTGTGAAAGCGCTTACCATCAGCAGAGAATGTGGCTGTAGAAATGCCGAAGGAAAATTTAATTTAAGCCTTGGCAATTTTTACCGATCGCTTGGGGAATTTAGCAAGGCAAAAGATTGTATTGAGAAAGCTTATTCCATAAGCAGCCTAATTGGAAACAAGATGTTCGAGTTTCATAGCCTTCTTAGTTTTACTCTCTTAAAGATATCGCAGTCAGAGGCTGGGAAGGCGATGAAATATCTTCTTCAATGTATTGCAAAATGCGAGCAAATCAGAACTTTTCTGAAAGGAAACAGTGAACTTAAAATGTCTCTGTTAGAGGAACACGGTACTTTTCCTTACAATTTACTCACTCGCTTGCTTTGCTATTATGGTAAATTTGCAGATGCTCTCTCTGTTGAGGATCTGGGACGAGCAAGAGTCCTCGCAGAATTAATGGCAGACAAGTACTCCGTGGAAAGCCACATCTCAGCTGATCCACAATCATGGTTCGGGATTGAAAACGTCGTGAGGAGAGAGAGTAACTCTGTTTTCTTGTATATTGCGTACAGAGAGCGGAAAGTTCTTCTCTGGGTATTGAAAGCAAATGGAGACACTTGCTTTAGAAAAACAGACGAAGTGGAATTAGACACTCTTATTGACGAGCGAGTTTGCGATGTGGAAGGAATCTTTAAAAAGAGCGCCGCTGGCTTTGGCGTTTTACCCGAAGCAAACTGCGAAGATCGATCTTTGGATGACAACGTGACGACATCTCTTCATAAAGTGAGCCGGGCATATTTGCAAGGTGGACAAACCAAAGATACCGAAAGAATTCATCATTTGTGCTACAAATGGATCGTCGCACCTGTGGCAGACTTACTTACAGAGCCTGAAATCATCATTGTGCCGGATCGTTTCTCGTACCGAGTTCCATTTGCTGCCTTGCGTGATGAATCTGCCGGAAAGTATTTATCAGAGAAGTACAGAATCCGTATCGTCCCTTCTCTGACGACTCTCCGAATCATTCAAGAATGTCCAGCGGACTATCACAGTCTAACTGATGCACTGGTTGCGGGTGATCCTACGGTCGGCGAAGTGCATTACAATGGACGTCTCATTGACATTACACCATTGTTCCATGCAAGAAAGGAAGTAGAGATGGTTGGTGAACTGCTGGGCATTGAGCCTTTGTTAGGAAGTCGCGCAACAAAGCAGGCAGTACTTCAAGCGATACCTTCGGTAAGTTTGATACATCTTGTCGCACATGGAAATGCCGAAAGAGGAGAGATTGCCCTATCTCCTCAACGTACCACTAACAATACTCCTGAAGAGGAAGACTACCTCCTGACTATGTCCGAAATTCAAGGAGTTCAAGTGCGAGCTAAACTGGTAGTACTCAGCTGTTGTCACAGTGGGCGTGGATTGGTTAAAAAGGAAGGAGTCCTCGGAATCGCTCGTGCATTCTTAGCATCCGGTGCACGTTCAGTGTTGGTAGCATCGTGGGCTCTAGAAGACGAAGCAACGGCGAAGCTCATGAAGCATTTCTACAAACACCTTGTGGGTGGAGAAAGTGCCAGTGAGTCTCTTCATCAGGCCGTTCAATGGTTGAGAAGCAATGGCTATTCTAAACCTTCCCAATGGGCTCCGTTTGTGCTGATGGGGGATAACGTGACATTTGATTTTATGAAAAAAGGGTAAGTCTGGTTATAATGAGCAATTTTTTTATTATAAACCAATATCATAAGTACACTTAAATTTTCAGTTGAAGACATAATAGTCAGTTTTTGTTATTTGTTTGTTTTATTCCTTGTCTTTCATCTATGAATTGTCAAGAAAAAGAAGACGATTTTATCTAGCACCGAAGCCATAAGATTTTCATGAATCGCTTCCTAAATTGGCCTTGAAAAAGAGTTTCTTTTGCATGGAAGATATTCAGGAATAACTGCTGGAGGTTGATACGATGCTAGACGCTATGACGATAAATGTAATCTGAGAAACTTAAACTGACTTTAAAAAAGTTAACTTTATTTTGTAAAAAATCAACAATAACCATAATGATTAAATCATAATTTTAAAGTCACTTTCGCACCAATCACGGAATTTGACAATAATTTGGAGAGGTTAGAAATGACTGATGGCCAGTGACTTTGAAGGAAAAAGTAATTTCGTTGAAATTAACCTGTTCCGTTTGCTTTTAAGTTAAAATAGTGACAAATGTAGACTGTTTGTTTTTAGGAGAGAAGAACTCAAGGAGGACAACAATGAAGCAAAGATTGGAACAGAGTGATGACTGATCCGACATAAAGATTATCCTTCTTTTTATCTTCCATTTATCGTCTTTAAACGGACACTGGTATTATTTTGTAAAGACATTTCTAATTTGTTTCGAAGTCAAGAAGTTGTTTTGGCATGCCTTCGTAAACACGTTTGAATCGAAAGCGTGCGACTGAATAAAACCTGTAGTTCAGCCGTTAGATCTATTATGTATATCATTAGGGGACAAAATTAACATTGAGATGAACGCAGGAAATAAGCTAAATGTTAGAAGACGAGAGAATATGGAAAAAGTTTCGTCAAAACTCAAAACTGATCCTTGGTTAATATCACCATGATCTAGCTTTCAATTCTCCCGTAGCATGCAAACTTGATCATCAAAGAGTGATAAAAATTGTTCGCAAGTACAGGGGATGATAACATAACGAACAAACGGAAGAGGGAACAAAAAGAACGTGAGATACTATATAATAATCTAAAAGATAAACGGAGAAGGGAAAAAACGAAGTGAAATACACTTAAAAATTAATTTCAAGCAGAGAAGAAAAGAGAAACCAATGCAAATTGTTCAGGTAAAATTGGCCTAAAAAAAATTGCGTGAGCTACTACGAAATAGTCAAACAGAAGAGTGCAAACAGTTTGTAGGAAATAACGGTGACAATCAGCCAGAATTCAGAGAAAAAAGTCTAGAAGCTAACTTAGATTGGAGAAAACAGCGAGGTAGATATTAACTTGGAAATCAAACACAGAAAATATAAAGTATTGTAGTAGATTCTAATGCAAAATTCAATCGGAGAAGAGAACGAACTATGCGCAAGATACAAACAAAACAACCTAACAGAGAAAAGACAAAACAGTGCGCAATATATCTGCAACAAACAAAAGTAAAGAGAGGAAAAAGTGGACTAGACATTGATCGAAACGTCAGATTGAAAGGAAAAGGAACATTTATTGCGTGAATCATTGAAGTTAAAGTCATTCAGAAGAAGAGAAGAAACAGTGTGCAAGATGTACAAATGCCAAAAAATAAGTAAACGTAGGCATGCTAAGCATCCAAGACATATTTTCTGGATGCGTAGGTTGAAATAGGACTCTTTAAGTAAATTTTTTTCTTTTTCGATTTTGTAAATGATAAAAGAGCATTAACTTTCGTAGTTTCCAACATACGCACGGTTTGATAGAAAACAAAAATAACCCTTTAAGTTTATATAAAATAAAACTCAGACACAGCTATTTAGGGTTTGTTGTCACAGTTGTCTGGGCAATTTTAAGCAGAAAAGAACTTCATTGGCGCCACGCGTACAGTAGTCTCCTTCGTAGCAGGCTCTCACAACGGCGCCTCATCACGACCGTTTTGTACCGCAGGAAGCAAACCAAAATTCTTAAATGACTTAATACTGTCGCATTCAAATGCACATTTAACATCCAACCGAAAAGTTATTTACTGCGCACAACAGGTGCTTAAAACATTCCTCTCGTTTCCCACCCCTCCCTCGAACTTTGGACTTGCCCAATAGGATACGGTAGCAACAGGAGGTTTCACGCATGCGAATTTCAAAAACTTCAGTGGGGATCGAACCGAGACCAGAAATTATCACCTACCGGAAGCCATTCACCAATGTCACCAGTATGGAGCCAGTCATCCTCGTCAATAGTTTCGGCAGTTTTCTTAGGGTCGTGAAGGTAGCCTTTGAAGACGTTGGGACCTTTCAGACAAATCTAGAAGAGCAAAATATTAATGATGATATTGCAGTTTAGTTGAGGTTAATACAAATTGATTTTGTTGCAACAAACGATTTGTTTTTCTTAAATGAGGTGATCTTAAAAATCCAAGTATTGCTATATGTCAGTCCATTTTACCTCTCCCTGACCATTTTTAGCGTAGTATTCTTTCTCTTCCACGTCGACAAGCTTAATAATGTTACAAGGAACTGGAGGGCCAACATGTCCGGCTGCAGAAAGAAGACAATTACAAATAAGTATATAACTATTGATGAGTCGGGTGGTCATTGGTCAATCAGTTGATCTACTCCACCACCAATCAGTCAAAATTTCAATAAGTCAGTCACCTTGCCTATCAGTCAGTAAGGTAACGTTCAATCAACCGATTAATTTATCAGTATTTAGAGGCTTGTCACTGAGTAAATCAAACAACTTGAAAAGGTATTACGCCAGCGGCTCAGTCGAGCCAGTACATTCAGTGACTCACTAAAAGTCAGTCAAGCCGCTTGTCTGTTAGTTATTCTGTAAGTCAGTCATTGAGTCGGTCGGTCAGTCAGTCAGTCAGTCAATCAGCAAGTCAGTCAATCGGTCAGTCCGTCAGTCAGTCTGTTAGTCATTGAGTCAGTCAGTCAGTCATTCAGTCTGTCTGTCAGTCAGTCAGTCTGTCAGTAAGTCATTCGGTCAATCAGTGACTCAGTCCGTCAGTCAGTTAGTCAGTCGGTCTGTCGGTCGGTCGGTCAGTCGGTCGGTCAGTCGGTCGGTCGGTCGGTCGGTCGGTCGGTCGGTCGGTCGCTCGGTCGGTCAGTCAGTCAGTCAGTTAGTCAACTTATCAGTTTGTCATTCAATCCATTCTTCAGTCTGCCAGTCAGTTGATCAGCTATTTAGTTATTCATCCAGCCGGCCAATCAGTCAGTCAGACGGTCAGTCAGCAAGTCTCTCAGTCATTCAGTCAGTCATTCAGTCACTGACCCACTAGGTCAATTAGCCGGCCAGCCAGTCAGCCAGTTAGCCCGTCGGTTGGCGAGTCAGTTAGTCAGTCCGCGTGTCATTAGCGCAGCTCCTCAGCCTCTGAGTCTGCCAATGACTTCCCCTTTTTGCCAAGAAACACACAAAGAGCTTGACATACCTGTTGTGACGTCATTGAACAGCTGGAAGGTGGCAGCAGCTGTGCATTCGGTCTGACCGTAACCCTCGGTCAGCTGAGGAAACAAACGGCCAACGATGTACGATAAAATTAACAATATCGAGAGGTAGTTCTGTTTTACTACCAGACAGCCAAGTTAGGCATAACTTGCTCGCCTACGATGACCCTTTTATCCTACCCTTCCCATAAAATGGAGAAAATAAATATAGCTTTTGAGTAGCTTTTCGCCCTGAAAGATGTTAGATGTTTGGATACAAATAATCAACTCACGTGACATCCCATGATGCATCTGATGAATGTCGTCACCTGAGCTGACAGAGGTGCGGAACCACAAGGCATGTATCGCACGTGACCACCAAGTAAACTCTGTCACGAAGAAGGAACATATCATGAAAGTTTTTTACTAAAGAATGAATTCGCATAAATACTTTACAATACCACACAGAATGCCTTAGAAACTAAGCAGGGGATAACGTTTTAAGTGAGAGAAGTGAAAAAAGTGTAAGTGAGAGCGGGGAAAAAAATTGAAATGAAAGTATTGTCTTCCGATAAAATTCAGGTCGTTTTTGTCAAGACTTGAGACAGAAATATTTCTCTTGATAATATTTAAAGGTTAATTATATGGAAATTTCAAGCGATTATCTTTGCAATAGAATAGACTTTGAGCTGAAAATACTTTGTCGCTGCTCTTACCCTTGCTTGAGGCATTCATTCTACTACGTTCTGTGATTGGTTAAAAAAACCGCGTGGCCCGTTCAAACAATCAGCATCAGAACTGACGCCAATGCGCACGCGTCAGTTTTTCTGCATTTCCGATCTTTTGCTTTTTTGTGTTTTCTTTTTTATGTTGAGTCCTTTATAATCACAAAATGTTTGTAGCAATATTCTTCCTTGTTTTGATTAAATCAGCTTCAACTATATGACAGCTTCATCGAACCAGGCTCCAAGGAGAATATTTACTGGTTGATATATGTATTAATGTATATTACCTGTATTTTACGCAGAACCAGATGATCCCATATCGTGTTCTTGCTGATGATTTGCCTTAGAAGGAAAAGTGTCATAATTCGATGTTTATGGTTTTGCATTCAGCCAAGCAATTCATGAATTTAAGTCATTTAGAACAACTCCCCTATTTTGCAAATAGAAAGAAAATAAATCGAGAAGAACTTCCGTATGAGAAAACGAGGGTTCTTTCCTTTCCAGTGATCGCTTCAAAACAATTTCTCGTTACTACCATGATTAATGGAACCATCCGACTTCTGGCAAATTGTTTCGCAGCTTTGAAGTTAATGTGTTTTTTCGGTGTTACTCACCTTTTAAGATCATTTTCCTTAGACTTAAGTGCCATTTGAAAAATCCACTTCTTCAATTTACTCTTGGATACCTCAGACATGATCTATCGATTAAGAGCATAACTTCTTTTCCCTTACATGCATGACATTCACGACGCAAATGACAGAAATCTGGTTTTGATAGCATTTTTGCCTTTTTTTTTCTTCACTAATGACTATTTAGGCAAAAAGTGAGGCCAATTGAAAGTCAAAATCTCAATATAAGGAATTAGATGCCGACAAAAATCGTTTGGTTGAACATTATCTCAACTCAAAATTCTCAGAGAAAATGTTTGTTTCAGAGTGCAAATAACAAACATCAACCCTTTTCACCCCGTTAGCATTCAGATTCTCCACACTTTCTTCTTTACAACTCCTGTGGTACTTATATTGAGAATCTGTGTGACAATCAGGAACTTCTAAAATTGGTGATCATTTCCTTTCTTCCGAAAACCCAAACTTTTTATTTAAGGCTGATACTGTAAAGAGAAATTAATACCCCATCGTCTTAAGGATAAAGGTTTAAGTTATGCACCCAGAATATCTCATTACCTATCTTTCTTGGCCAAGAAAAAAAATATATCTTACTCGATTGTAAATGATCAACTTCACTCAACGCTTTCCTACCTTGTCGTAGATTCTGTTTAGTAAGCGAGGCACGGGTGTGAATATAGTTGGCCTGTGAAGAATTGAGAAATGGGAAGTAAGTGTAGTTTAGGGAGCCGGTATGTCATAATACTACAGTGATGAACGATCTTCAACTCGATTCAGTTAAGAGTAGACTTAAGTCAGTGAAAAGTGGTTTTAAGAAACTGCAAACTATAGTATTCTTATTAATAATAATGCAGAATAAAAGCACATTCACACAAAATGATGATAAAATGATTAACTTACTTCAGCTCTTTGCAGTCTTCTAGCAACTGTTTGACGTCACCACTGTAGTACCCAATCCTTCCTCCGCTTACAAACAAGTTCAGCTGAAAACATTGTTTTACATTTAGGCCTTAAAAGTCGGCGAAATGATTTGGTTTCATCAGTTGTAAGAGTACCGTTAAATTACGTGGAAGTAGCAACCAATATTATATATCCAGCTTTAATTTTGCAAGCTTAGGAAAAAGATAAAAGATAACTGCTTTATTTCAGAAATAAATACAAAATCATATCCTCTAAGTTATAAAATTTGGTGAGTTAGAGCTTCCGTTTGGGGCAAACTTACTAATCATTTCTTCGGATTGACAATTAAAAATAAAAAAAAAACAAGAAAAAATTTGTAAAATGTAATCGTGAGTTGTATGAGATCCATCTAAGGACTGCCGAGTTTTCTTTTTCGCGTGATATGAAACTCACGTGATTTATCCGTTCGTACATGTGAGCCAGCGGTAAAAATGACAGATGCACATCCTCCGTTGTCAGCTCAAAACCGGCCTGCGAATAATTATCAAACAAGCAAGATGAGATAAGAATTTTTATAGTCTTTTTCTATAAAGTGATCTACTTTGAAGTAATCTGGTTATCAGTCTTTCGAGTCGTCGCGAGTTACGCGACTTCCTTCGGGAGGTCTGGGTAAAAATAATTATGGGAACAGTTTTGGGGCTAAGTAGGCGGAAAAACACAATATGTCGAATTGTTACCCATGTTCTAACAAAGCTTTTAAATTGAATATGCAGAGAACATCATTGATGGGGAGTCGAGAGATTACAATAAGTAATTTAAGGAAAGCTTGTAGGACCCAGTGCTCAGATGTAAAAGGACGGCACATACGTACGTACATACCTGAAACATTATACGTACGTACATACCTGAAGCATCATACGTGCGTAATACCTGAAGCATCATACATGCGTATATACTTGGTGCATTATACGTACGTAAATACCTAAAGCATCATACGTATCTGCATACCTGGTGCATCGTCCAACGATATGCTGAGATGTCAGCGACAAGATTGGCATGTGTCAGGATGGCTCCCTTTGGTGGACCTATCACCATGAAATAAGTTAAGCATATAACGAAACACTCATCAAATGTGATGTATTTTTGGTTTGTAACGTATGCAGCACACTGAAGCCGCTAATAATAAAAGTAAATGTAAGTGGTCCCGAAAAAGTTGGTGCGAAAGTTTTCAAGGATAACATTTAATGGAGAAAGGAAAAATATGAGGATTAAAGCATTTCATGACAGATGCATAGTAAGGTTCATTTTTAAAAGAGGAAATTAAGGGGTTGCTATGATCCAACAGATTTTACCTGTTGTTCCACTTGTGTAACATACTGTCAAAATGTCTTCGGGCTTAGCAGGCTGAAGGAATAAAAAACAGCGGTCGTTTTAGTTTGCAGTGATTTGCGGGATCGGCAAGCCTATTTAGAGTTGTAGAGGATTAGTGGAGAGGGACGAAGACCCAATTAATTATCACTTTCACGATTGAAATAGAAGGCAAAATATTAAGAAAAATATTTTTGTTTAAGAATCATTCATGAAACGAGATATTCCCTGTTAACAAAGTAAACGACCTCTTACCACTGATCACGAATCAATAACTAGATTCAGAGCTCGAGATTTCTATCTCCCAATAAAATGATGAGTGCATACTCTTGTTATTTTAGTATAGATCTATAAGTCCTTTAAAAATTCTCCTACAAGACAGGCTCATGTGAATATTTTCAGCTTTGTTTAGAAACGCACTGTATCAGTATACGTTCTCTTCTCACTGTCTATTATGGAATTATAGCGTAGCCAATCAGATAGCAGCATTTGTGATAAGGCACAAGTAGATTTATATTAATTGCTGATAGCATACGAGCCAATTAGGAGTGAAAGTGATTTGATTTAAACATAGGAAACTGGCTTTAAAAAAAAAAAAACTTAAGCAGTTTCCGGATCTATTTGTCACAGTCTTTGGCATCCTGATTGCAAAAGTTAACCATTGAAATAAGGAATTCATGTCTTCGGAGGAACAATACAAGATCAGCGAATCATTTCATTCCTGTTACCTTTCGTTCCTGATAGCTCTCTTTTCCAATGTCCTACGATTAGGAAACAAAAACGGCAAAATTAGACAAGAACACATTTAGGTACTGGATCCGTGACCACAAAATGAAGAAATATAAGGCAGGTTTGATGAAAAACGTTGAAGGAATGAGATCGCTAACATCAGAATACATATTCTTCATAACGTTCCTTTTTACTTCTCGATTTTCTCAATTCATGAACCTAGTGTCAAAGGTGAAGAGAGGGAAGAGCGACCAGCGTAAAAATTCTTAGCTCAGGTTAAATATATGTTTCAACTCAGTGTAGCACTAACTGATTTTGAATAAAGCTTTATTCATTCAACAGATAGTGCGATACTAAGCAATGAGGTGGCTTTGGAAGGAATATTTAATTTTGTCTTTCCATTTCTCAGGGAGGTTATAACAAAAAATGGAAAAGCAATTTTAAAATTAGCTTCGAGATTAATCCTGGGTTGCATTGAATTTGCTTTACTTTACTCCTTAAATGGCAAAAAAAGTCGCGCCATTCTCTCGATCAAAAGGACTCAAAGCTAAAAAAACAATCTCTTCTTGGTCACTCGCGGTTTAACGCGCCTCAAGAAGTTTATTTGTTTTCATTTTTGAGCTCTTGGTAGTTCTGTAAGATATTTTCCTTTTTCCTCTTTGGTCATTACGGTTAGTTTGGTTTTAGTTATACGACACTGTACTAAAAACCGCCCTACCATAAACAGATGAGAGTAATATCCCTATCTGTTTTTCTGATATACTCTACGGCTCAGGATAAATACCACCACTTACTTCTAGATTTGTCATGGAGATGAGGTTGAGACCCATATCTTTTGCTTTTTTATCTTCTTCTTGAGTGACAGAGGAACCTATTTTTATCAAATTTTTCAGCTCCTTGCACAATTGGGCCTTTTCAAGAAGCAATGGCACCTTGTCTTCGTTACAAACAATAGTAGAAAGGTTGGCTGAAGAGTAAAATGGAAAAAAAAAAGCTAACTCAAATATATATTAACTATGGGGCAAACAATGCAAAAATAATTTAACAAGACAATTCATGAAAACATCGAGTAACAACACGTAAGTTTAAAGCATAAATAGCAGCTTCATTATGAGCTTATTGTCATCATAATCTATTACGTTTTTAGTTCTTTGTTATTTACTTAACCATTTCTCCTAAAAATTGTGGCTGCAGAACTTCTGTAAAATTGTATATACGAATCAAAAATGACCCTAAAAGGTGGAGTTCCCTCTACGAGGTGCCCCAGCTGTTAAGATGCGTTACATTCTACTTAGATATTACATGAGGTGTCTAAGTTTATTGTTACTCCTTGGGCGAAATGCCAGTCCATAGCGAGGTTACGCGAATTTGAATAATTAATCAATCAATTGAATAATGTTTTTACAATCACCGTCCCGATACTGCCATCCTCTTTATAAGCGCTGCATTAGCCTAGAAATTTCCATAGATCATACTTCTTGCCATAGTTAATATCCTCCACTTCCCTTTCCCATGTGTGTTAGCCACGCCCTGTATTAGAGTGGCTTAAAGATGGAGATTATATTGCATATGATATCAATTTCTCACCATGGTTTATGATGTAGATGCATTCTTCAGCGCCGTGAGTATCGTACACTGGCACGGAAATCATTGAGAACATCTGACATCCCAGATCAGTTAAAGCCCACTACAAGAAAAAGAAAGAAAAATTTAAAAAATCATCAGCGTCTGTCCCCAGAGGGATAAGAAAGATTTTCTCCTGCTTTCAAGTCTCCCATGATTTCATTTGCTATTCTTCTTACTGTCTTCCATACAACTCTTATGTCGTTAGTTTAGAGAATTTCGTATGGGATCAATTAGCTATCCATCAGTGATCTGCTTGATATTGTGCTGTTGTTGTAGGGAGAAATATTCTGTCCTGGTCACTCAAGGCAGTTAAATGGTTAAAACTGTGCAAGACGTTAACAGTTCGCGGCTTTGTTACGTCCGTTCCCCAACCTACCCCTTCCCTTAGTTAATTGCATTATTCAAACTTTGCTAAAAGAAGATGGTTCCCATAGATAATTGCAGTTTCATATTTCACATTTCACACCTCACAAATTTCACAGCTCACCTCCACTCGGTTTGGTCCATAGATCCCAATGAAGGTCTGTTGTGAGGGCTCGCAACCTAAAGCGACCAGGCCCGCGCCAACGAACGTTGCCCTCTCATGAACCTGGGGGAGAAATAATGTTTACAATATCGGGCAAATAAAATGGAACTTTTAGATGAAAAGTTAGTTTGAAGGGTCTTCTTTTTGGCAACCCCGTACCGTATATAAGACAAATACCTTGGTACTTTATTAGGGCATCACATTTTCAGGTGACGGACTATAACTGAAGATATGAGGGAATGGTGAACTATCAAGCTATCAAATGCCTTTATTTAAGGGGGGCGACATTTTCATTTCGGCATTTATTCTCCCCACTAATGGCGGCCCTGTCTATTGCAGTGAGGTAGCAATGCTCGAAAGTTATTCCCAGTGTTTACTTTATTATTTTGCTGCCGACATTTACCTGGTTATATGTCAGCCACGTGTACTTCTTACTGATTGGATCCCTTGTTCCTAGGCAAGGACCGTCCCCTGTTAGAAAAACGAAAAATAAAATAGATGTGTTGGACTGAACCAAGCTAAGCTTCTGCTGTCAAAAATTATATTTAAACTGATAGTTTAATATGAATGCTGTTAATAGGTCGAAAGTAAGAACGACCAGAAGAACTAACAACTTCTAATTGCCTTTACACTTTGAAAGCCTTAAAATTGGATCATGGGAGTTCAATATTGCAAACCACCGAACAAGTTTAAAACTCCGCAGACGTTTTGTTGAACACAATATCAATAGTGCATCTCTTTTTTTATCACTCCGCAGCAATAAGTATTTAATTTTTCAGCCCACGAACTGGTCGCTTATCATCTTCCTCTCTCTTTCACCATGCAGTAGGCCGTTTGAATCCACGGCATCTACATTTTCATTTCCAAGACTGATCATTTGAGTGGACATACATGTATATGGAGCGAGAGGGTTTAAGGGCTAAAATCTGTGAATCTCACTAACCTGACAGTTTTACTCCGCGGAGAAAGCTTTCATACACAGTGGTAACATCCGGATATTGCCTTGCAATTATTTCAGATGACAGCGTGGTCCGCCGAGCTCCGTCAGTACCCTGCGAAAAAGCTCCTTGGTTAGTCTAAAATTTCACTTTCTATAAGTCTTTTCTATCGGACTATACAGTGCATAAAGGCAATTTGCTCTCAATCTGAGTGGTGCAACTTGTCAAATAACATCCCCTTTCTCTCCGTGATATACACGAAAAATGTAAAAGTTCTTATAGTTAATGCAAGTAGAGTAGTTCCTTAGACACTCCATCTTGTCTCCACAGCCCTAAAAAAAACTCTTAAACAGCGGGTTTATTTTTTTGTCTTGTTTGGGCCTGGTAACGTTAAACATGCTTGCCTTTCAAAGCCTGCAATAAATTCCGTTTTAAACATCGTAGGTTAGCAGCTGAGGGATGCATGTTGTTTACAACACTAAGAGAAAGTCGACTTTTGCTAATTAATGGTGCGTTTGAGAAAACGCCAGTTTACCTTCTTTTAGATGTAAGAGTTGATGAAAGTGTTGCAGGATTTAGTTTGTACAAATGAACTAGAATCATGTTAAGCAATTTAGCTCGGTTGTCGATTAGAGAAATATTTGGTACAAGCGTAGAACACACACAAATAAAAGAAAGATTGTTTTTTACGCGAAGCTTCGGGCCTCAGGCCTTCCGTAGTACAATGCTTTTATCTGAGCTGCAGAGAACTGTTTGGTGACAGCGGGCTATTTCTAGGTTCATGAAAGACAACTTTCTTGTCTGCTGTAAGGATCAACAGTCCCCAAAATGAATCCGGTAGATAGATTTAGGTAATGAACGTATTTGGAGCTGTGTAGTCGAGTAAAGAAACATGCTGAACATATTTCTTAACTGGATTCAGCTTACGACCTTTCTTTTTGTGCCAATTGCGATAAATTGAAAAGCCCGAATAAATTCCGTTCTTCAGTTTGGAAATGGCTAAATTCATTTTACTTAATTCTACATCAGACTCAGCACATCGAAGGTTCCGCGGGTCTGAATGTTCGTTCAAAGTTTAACTGCACATGGATATCACCAGGCTCTAGGTAAAACACATTTAGGTGGGAAACATACTCGTTTTACCAATACAATGAATCTTTGTGACACTCCTGACAGGTTTAAAAACAGACTTACAATTTGTGGGATTAAAGCCCTTAACGGTCCATTATCGTCAAATGGAAACTGGAAGAATGGTCAAACCACAATTTTTATTCGTAATCTTTTAAGATTATGTTCTTCTTTTCAGTTTCGCAACGCCTCGCCTGTCCTCGCCATAGCTCTTGGATATCTCACACGGAAACAACCATACAAGTCTTTTTGATAATGTACTTTATAAAATATCTGAAACTGAAACTATCTTTTTAATAGAGCCGGCAAGTTACGAAAAAATTGGAGACAATCGGAAGAACTACCGATCGCCATTTGCAGCCATTCACTTTATTTTGAACAGCCTGAAATCTTGCGTTCATCGAGGGCGCGTACTGCTAACTAGGAATTTAATGGTGTCCTATGATTTTGAAAGACAGATCTCTTGTAAATTTGTTCAAATAGGAGAGTAAACGAAGTCAAAAAGAAAAATTTACAAGTTACCTCTACTTCAACAGATTGCTGTTCTGGTGGTAGGTCCATTTCGTGTCCACGAGTCTTATTTCTGTACCAGCGTATCAACACAAAAATAGCCACGCCACTGATAGCTGTGAAAACTGCCAAACTCCCGGATGCTGCGTCTGAAAGAACACGAAACCGGTCATTATACATTATCACCTTTTAATTTATTACCATCCCTCTTCCCTGCCAAGAGAAGTGAGGAAAATTCAATTATAGAAGGTTATATTATTGGAAATATTGCCTGAACAATGCGGGGATGTTGTCGAATAAGACTCTTGGCTTATTGAATGACTTCAGTACTCATTGAATGCAGATTCTCAGGTTGCACCAACGTGTTGTGGTTTAGAGTTGGGGAAAGTTGTCTAAAAGAAAAGATTCGATTTCTAAACATAAGCCTCATGTGCTCATGTTACAAGAAGCATCATGGCATAAGAGTAAAGGAAAGTTGGCATCATGATAAAATGTAAATGAGTAGAAAGGAAGTCTGCATTCTGGCGTGATGCCATTAAGTATTTTTAAAAAAGCTCTATAGTGCATTCTCAGGCTTGACTGAATGGCGCTGTAACGAAACAGACAAAATAAAAATAATGATAACGAAAATAACGAAAAAATTACAAATTAAAGCTTCTGTATCATTGCTGAAATTTCCTTTAATCACCATGCATAAACACTGATTAAGACTCGTCAAAAAGGCGCAATTAGAAAGGTTATCTTATTGCTTTTGATAAACACAAAGTGTTCGAATTTGTCATTTCAAGAGATGCGATGGGAACGAATCCAAAATACATAATACAATTCCTAAATTTCCTTCTATCTTTCTCTTCAGTTAACCGTTTTTAAAACGAAACTCTTTCATGACTATAAACTTTCGCAGTGAGCGGTAAGATCCAGAAATAAAGAACCAAAATTTGAGACCTGCAGAAACGAGACTCACTCGATTGAGCGTACACATAATCACCATGCATAATACGGACTACAACCCACGTGTGATAAATAAAAATCCTCTTCGCTTATCGGTTGCCATATCGACCACAGCAAGGTGGCTAACATCTGGCTTTTGTAGTGGACCTTTAAAACACCATAAATGAACACTTTTGCGGTTTTGCAGTATGAAACCAAACTGAGCGATCAGCAGCCATTGCCCTCAACCGATAATGTAAAATGTAAGATTTGTTTAAGATTTGTTCCAACTAGTGAAAATGATTTTATATAGGAAAAGCGTTAACAGTAACTTTTAACTAGCATAAAGAAACGAAAGTATCCAAAACCCAACAGAACTTACTCGTTTTCAAGATGGCCGTTCAGAAGATTTTGAACCTGGGTGATCAACAAGATATGATTTCGCATGCCGTTGAATACAACATGTTGAGTGTAGCAAAGCAGGTGAATATTTTGAAGCTGAATGGGCGTGAATATTTTGTGTGGCTAATGAGTATTTTAAAAGGAAAATTACCACCTACGAGACAAAGGCTTAATCACCTTTTATTTCTGAGGCGAGTATTGTCTTGATAATTGAAATAATGGTTTAGTCGATGAATTTGACGGGTAAACTATAAATATGAAAGGCCCTTTTTCATAAGCATTTACATTTATCCTCTAAGAGAGCAAATGTCGCGAAGTGTCCTCTGAGATTGCGAATGGCCTTGAGTACGGTTGTTGTTATTGTTTTTTTTTCCGTTTTCTCTCTTTTTCGAAAAACGTTACAGGAAAATCGAAATACAGGTCTGAATTAAGTCGCATGGTCAACTGAAGATTCCTTGCCACCTTGAAAGATGATAGCTTAACCCTTTAACTTTCAGAAGTGTACCTTCTCCCTATGATAATCCTATATTACCCAGCCAACATGTAATGAGGATATTCAAACTTATCAGGTAGAGATTGGTGGTCCTGATGTAATACCAAATTCTTGTGACTTATTTACATGGGAATGTGTGGCAGCTAGATGGGAGAATTAATAATCAGATCCTGGGAGTTAAAGTGTTAAGGTGAGTTTTTAGAAATAAAAGTTGTCAAGCGATCTTTTTGAAACTTTTCCCTACCAAATCTCTGTTTCGAGAATCGTAATTAAAAATATAGGTGACCGTGCCCGTTTAAGAGCAAAATACCATCTGAGCTGTTTAACACTGATTGAAACAATTCGTGATGTTCCTAGAATGCGCACGTGCTTATTCACCTAAATACGCGATGTTATGCGCAGTACAAGATGAGTAGTGCAATATTGAGGAATCACCTTGAGCGAACATCAGAGCTATCTGTCAACTGAATTTACCATTCTGACATATTTCTCGACGTGGGCCAAACTATTCACTGATGACATCATGAGTAGGGATAGCGATATTTGGCAAGATGTTTGTACAACCACACACTTCATTATGTATACATGCAGTTCGTTGAACTATATCATTTATCTTATATATCAGTTTACTCCTAGCATTTCGATTTTACACGTTTTAAATTTATTTTTGTATTAAAACCCTACGCGGAACATTTTTCGTATCCCTGATAATGCCGTGGATCGGCGAAGGCTTGGATTTCATAAAGATTTTGAAAGGATTTAAACATCAAATTTTGTCAGTTTTCTACAAACAGTGTTGTACATCAAACAAAACGATGGCGAAAAAAATGGGTTGCCATTGGGACTAAGGTTTTGTTTTAGAGCAGTATGGGATTCTACGGAAATTTACCGTTTATTATACTCGTCTCCTGATTTTAAATACCGAGAGCTTGACACATGTGGACCGTTATCACAGTTATAACGTGGCGCATATCACAATTATTGGTACGGACTGGCCAAACCGGTCCATACCCAGAACGAAGTTTTATTTCATACTCCACCAATGAAGTCAGTTAACATAAGCAATGCTCAATTCTGCTTATATCTTCTTTGAGAATAATGTCTTCAGTTTTTTTTTTCAACGGTTTAATCCTAAAGCTTCGACAAGAGCGTTTTTCATTTGAGTGTTAGGGAACCAAAACCTTTATTGTAGGCAATTAGAATCAAGGAAAATATCAACTGAAGAGCCAATGAGAATTCAAAGCAAATTAAAGCAAACTGCCTCAAGCACGGAATTGTGATGGTGGGTGGGTTTTTTAGATCAATCCATAGAGCGAAGTAAAGAAAACCACTTCAATACCGGATTACCCTCGAAGTTCGATTGAAAATCTCTCAAAAGAGGGGACGGAAACACGGATTATGCTCGACACTCAAAATTCTTTACATAGTAATTGCCCCAAATGTATGACCCAAGTTAACTCGCTAATGAATTCTTCATCCACGACTCAGTTGACAGAGCGCATAGACGCGAAATCGGATGTGGTTCGACTCCGTACATGTTTACTGACGGATTCCATTTGTCTCAAGGAAGTGACGCATAGTGCTTTTTCGACTGGAGGCCACTCCGCCGACTGTGCTGTGCTAAGCAGAACGTGGGATCCTGCAGATGACTACATTTCTCGAATTAAGTTGTGTTTGTAAATATTTTCCAGACGTTCCAAAAACATGTCTCTTATAATTTTGATTCATGGTGGCAGGCGTGATCCAGAAAAACTCAGCAGTGTTAATAACAAGCGGAAATCACACCTCCCTTACAAAGCTGGCTGTGCATGTTTTTTCCGGTCCAGAATTTTCTATTTCAGTCACGTTTCTTCGAGTAGAAACATAACAAAGGAGATTCTTGTTATGTAAATTCAAATTAAAGTTTCTGTTTAACTAAAAAGCGTCTTAGGAAAAGAATCATGTTTTAGTTGAACTTAAACTTACTATTATTTTCAAGGAAATGATGAATTTAACTTTGTTTGTGAAACATGATAACAAATGCACAGTGTGTATTAAATCAACAATTGAAAAGGATTGTTAGATCTTTGATATTGAGACGGCTGTAATACTAATGAGAGATAAACTTGAAAATATTTTGCCCGCACAAGCTTATTTAGGGTTAGTTCACATGATGCTTTGATAAAAATAAGTTTTGAAACTCTCGCTAAATAAAAAAAAAAAAAGAAGAAAAATCGGTAATTCAGTTAAGTTGTAAAGCCATGTTTTAAAAAGAACTTTTACAAATTGTAAACAAACAATAAAATTGGGAAGATTTTATTTGGCGATATGAGGTTAATGAAACGTGCGTGAAAATTAAAGTTGCTGCAAAGCATACCTCGATTTGCTGGATACAGAAACGAATCCCTGCCTGTCCCTTTCAATTCTGTTTATTTGCGTTTTCTGTCACAGTTGTATTTAGAGTGGTTTCATCTCTCTTTCCTCTCTTCTCTTGGCTCTCTGACTAACTCTCATACTGTAATAACTCTATATAGTCTATATAGTACACGCTTTCATAAGCACCATCGATAGATGTGAGTGGGTATGCGAGCCGATTGACCTTGAAAGTTTTAACATTTTTTATCGGAAATCTAAACCAACACTTTCACAAGATTTTCACAAATGAATAAAAACGTACTTGAACAGCTTTCGAAAACCAGTCTGGTTCTAGGGCAAGGTCAGTGGAAGTTATTGTTAGCTAATCGTTTCATCAGCTGTTAATACGAGCTTAAGGGAAACTGCATGCATGACATTGCAGGCCCTCAACCTGATCACAAACCAAAACAATTCTAAACACTCTGAACAAGGTACTCGAAACGACATGCAAGTTCGAAGAATCCGTCAACGAAGCAAGACTGTCAAAATTGGGAAACTTTTTGTGATAGCTAAACCCTGGATAAACGACTTTATTTTCGAAGATGCTCAGTAGAAACAAATTACTATGTCCTTGCTCAAACATAAATGCTTCACAGAAGTGTCAGGAAAATCAGCTTTAAATTTCTAAAACTTAACTCCCTGAATCAGCTAATACTTGTTTGCGAGATCTTGGAAAGATTCAAATTCTTTTTTGTATTAATAGGGTGTTTTACATAGCAAAGAATATTCTGCCTCACGAAACGCTTTATAGCCCTTGTTTTTTATTGAATGGAAATTTTAAAACACCTTTCATGCGATTTTGCCCTCGTTTACGTACCATAGTCCGTAAGGAAGCGAATATAGCTGTAATTTCGTCAAGAATAGAATTATTTGCGTCACACAATGAATGTATATAACTTCTCAACTCACCTCAGTCAATCGCTTTAAGAGGTTATACACATGTTTATCGACAAAGCTTCTTTCACACTTTGTTTTAGTTGATAAAACTACGTGTTAAGGGAGAATCCGAAGTCGGCTGTCGTCGTGGCTGTCGTCGGAATTTACCGCCCGCTAAATCAGTTACACGTTATCATTATTACTTCAGAGTCCACCGGTCATTTCCGGTGTCACGTAATCTAACCTGTCATGTAGCACTATTATGGTCATGCCAACAGCGTATCGGCGGCAACCTAGGCCTGAACATGGTTCCACTTTATTATGAACTCCCAGAAAACCGTCCTCTTTGAAAATCTGGTTAAACTGAAATCTCAAATGACCTGATATTTGAAAAACCAATGACAATCAATCATTCTATTTTACTAACAATAGAAATGACTCATGAATTTTTCAGCACAGAGCCAAAGTGCAAAGTATTGAACATTTGTGACGTCATTTCTATAAACGATACTTTAAATAGACAGTAGAAAATTGGTTCTGACCAAACAGCGCATGGACGTGAAAAGGTAGGGGAGGGAGATTACAACTGCTGCAAGAGGCTATAATTATTTAACTGATTGGGCGTTTGCCTCTGGAAAGCCGCTGACAAGATCTGTTGAGAGATCTTCAAATGTAACGCTGCTGGTATACAACACACTGAATTAGGACATTTTGTCGTTGCTTGTACCGTTCTACTTGGTGCAAAATAGTTTAGAAGGTAAATCTCATTCAGATGCCTGGAAAGATGTCAACTAAACTTCCTTATCGACGTCACTACGGGAACACCTATTTTTTTCCCTTCGGCGCTTAGCACGTGCGTTGTTCCGTCGGAGTTTGAAATTCTGTGAGCGTGGTAGTAATGTGCCTGTTAAGCTTAATTGTTTTTTTAAAACATGCTCAGCACCGAGAAACCTGGGGCATTCCTTACTCTATCCTTTCAGCTTAGCGGGAGTGACCCGAAGGCTTACGGCGAGACATATTTGAAGATGGACATGCTTCGCATGCAAGAGTGATTTTTCGGATTGGTGGTTTGCAATGAGATACCAAGTAACTGATGTTTGCATTTTTGTAAAAGAAATAGAACCTTTACTTTCAAAAGATTCCAATGAAATATCTCTCAGTAGAAAGAAAAAACCTTCCAAGTTATCTGAAATAAACTCATACATACGTATTTTATGGCACATTACCACTGGTGTCTGAATAACTGCTGGCAAAAATAAACTGCATTGGTGCCACGCTTCCTGTAGTCTCATTCACAGCCATTGTTTGGTCTCGTCACGCAACGCGGTTTCTCCCTTGCTGCGTGACGAGACCAAACAAAGGCCTTCTCGCAGGATATGATGATGCTTACTGCCTTTCCTTCGTCAGAGACAAAATCAAAATTGCTCAGTGACAGCAAGTTGCCTCAAAAATACTCTTCCACATAATTTTGTTAATGTCTTTCTTTGTGTGTGTCAATGTAGAGTTGATTCCGTCGCAACACATTGCGGTACCCTAATTTTATGACATGATTGGCATGAAGGACGATACCCTGACGCTCTGATTAGCGCAAGCATACCTCAATGCTGTGATCTGATTGGTGCCAGATACATACCCAAATGTGGCGATCTGATTGTTGCGGGCAGTATAACGATATGCTAAAAGAGTTTTTTTGCTTTTTTTTTGCAAAAAAAGGAATAATAATAACTGAAAACGTTTATGAGCACTGAGGGAAAGGGGAGGGGAAGACAAGTAACTTTCCGTCCCATTCCCCCTGCTTTTATTTGGTTTTTTTTTTTCCGGCTCTCTCTCGCCCCACGCCTTCGCATATAACCTCCTTTCAACTCAAGCTTCTCTTGTTTGGCTGACAGGAAATGGAGTTAAAAAAAGCGCTCGTGGAAGAAAAGCAAAATTGCATCCGTACGTCGTTTGGCACTAGTGTCTCAGTAACGTCTGTATCTAATTACTCTTGCGATCCTCAAATCAACTTCCTAACAAATAACAACACATATCCTCTTTACCTACTCTTAAGAATTTATCGGAATATATTAAAATAGTATCGGCAATTTAAAAGTTTTTCTAACTCTGATTACTTGCTTGTTTAGCAATGTATTTCAATCGTAAGGAGAAGTTAGAAGCTGATAATCAAAGAGAGAAAAGTCGGGTACCTGCGAGCAACTTATTAGTGATGAAATTCAAGCATCAGTAGGAACAGCTTTGTTCAAATGAATGATTACGATATGCGTCATGAAACTTATGTTTCTTTCTCGTTTATACTCGAGTTTTAATCGTGAACCGTCAATGATGAACTAATACTAAATTGGCGCATGGCTCTCTTAGACCTGAGAACGTCGCAGTTTGTCTGATTGTGTTAATTAAGCTGGTCCCCTAAGTCATGCGAAGTAAGCGCTAAGTAAACTCACGACAGTTAACACTGTGTTCACTTAAATATTCTGTTTATGCAAAATACGTTTCTTGTCTTAGCAATATCACTTTCTCACTTAACTGACAATTAGTGAGCTCAATTCTCGCTTACCTTTTGTAGAAATTTCAGGCATTTCGCCAACATGGAAAACTTTCGCAAAGTCGTTGTCAAACTGCTCAATTTACACGACAGGAAACGGCAACAAAATGATTAAAATGCAAACTGTTAACACAACGATCGTGTACTTATAGAGAAACAATAAAACACTGTGTTTTCCATGCGGAACGGAGTTAGAGATTGTTTGTGTTCAAGAACGCGTATAACTTAGGCAGAATTTAAAATATCTCATTCTTAGGAAGCATAATTTAAGAATGGCATCTGTTAATTTTGACGTTAACGAGAGAAACGTTGTTCAAACAGCCACAATACAAACCAAACAATTTGTTTGGAGTCATTAATAAGAAAACTGACGTTCTTAATTGATATAACTTTTTTAGTTGGCTTTGAAGTTTAGCTGTTTACCGCTTGCAGAGTTATTGCCGCCTAAGTATTCCACTACAAGACCTTGTACCTGTAATAATTTACGACTTTTAGATGCGATGAAAGCACGCAATTAAACATACCTGAACGGAGAGATTTTGTATCTCACGATCCTTTGTGGTTTGTTGCCTTGTATGATACTTTTGGGGGTGGGGGGTGGAGGGAGAGGGAGGGGGGTTGTGCCACCTATTATTCTATTATTTTCCTTAACCCCCCCCCCCCCCCCCCCCCCCCGCTTAGGCTTTCATGTGATCCCCTCTCTGTTGCCTCTGAAAAACTTATGATTCTGCCCCCGGCGATAATTAATGCTGCATCCTTAAATAGGTTTACGAGGTGAGATTTCGAGTGTGAAATAGATTAGCTAATTAGAAGCCCGAGTCTTAAAATGTAAGCCGTTCTTGGTCGCCAAAAGGGGGGTCATGGTCCCAGGCGTTCCTTGCGTAAACCGCGGAAACTGGGGATGAGAGTGCGACAACTTGTGTTATCATGAACTCGCTTTTCTTAAACAACTTAATTTATAGAATGCTATGTTTTGTGAGGACCGCTTTGCAAAGATTCCTGTCTTATACGCTCATCTTACATACAAACGCACACGCCGTTCATGGTAGGCCCACACTAAATGATATCGAGCGTTTTCGGAATGGGCCGGTCCACGAGCTCTATAGCTTGAAAGCTAGCCAAATGTGCAAAGTTCATATTAGTTCTCACGAGATCACAAATGAGCCATATGTAAGTTCAAACTACGAAAATACTGGCAAAACTGTGACAGCCGATTTAACAACAACCTATGATGCTGAGACGAACACCTCACTTGCTGAAAAAAAAATCAAGAATGTTCGTGAATACAATTTCGAAGGTGGCGTTAACAACAGCGAATTGAATGAGGATACTCACAGAAGCAACTTGAATAGTAAGGTCAAATATCTAAAGCTTAGCTCGTCCGTTAAATATCCTGTTTCTGTTATTGGTTTTTAATGGGTTCAATACTTGTCAAGTACGATTTGGTATTTCGTACGTAGTCATTGTCATTATTGTACAAGCGATCGTTAATGTTGGTTTGCTCTTCGCATCGAGTTGTATGTGCTTCACGGTAGAATACATAACGAATACTGATGATTGTGATCTACTAGAAAAAGTTCTCAATATGACTAATGTACATGAACATAATGATGTTACAGTGTCAATAAAAGTACAACAATTCAGATCTCGTTGTGCAAAGTATGTATATTATAATTGTACTCGTGTTTTGTGTGAATGCCATGGCTGTAAACGTAATCGTGAACCAAGCAGAGTACCAGTGAAGATGTTAAAACGTCTCTCTTAGACAGTAGAAAACTGCAGAGTTATGTACGGAGCCGTTTAATTGAAAACGTACCAGAGTCATCGAAAGTCCATGATCTTGTTAAAAATAATGCAACATGAAAGAAAAGTACAGATAAAACAAGAGTCAGGTTTGGACAAAAAAGGAGAAGGAAACCAATTTTTAGAACAAGAAACTTTAATTCTTCAATGAGATATTTCTACAATTCAAGTAGAGATAAACATGGAAAGAAATATTTCAAATACTTAAGGTTCTTTTCGTGTGATTTCCCATATAGTGAGTACAAGGGTGTAATTCACAGAGGCAGTTGTACGATGTATGGAAACTTGCGCGGTTTCGCGCTTCACTGGGAAGCGTAGTATTTACAACAAATTTTAGGAACAACCCCAGCGAGTGAATAAAATATAGCCTGTGTACAGCCGCTCCCTCCACTCAAAAAAATTAAGGAGAGAGAGGTCCCGTTTTTTTTGCAGGGAGGGAGCGGCTGTACACAAGCTAATAAAGTATTGATTTTCACACGAGTAATTAAACTGACTGTTGGCACAAATAACTGTCAAAAAGTGGCACTGGAGTGATCGATATCGAAAATTCCCCATCCCAGGTCCCGGATGTGGTTTCGTATAAATTTTACGCGTGGTAAATGCTCAACTAAAACGCTCGATACGAAGCTCGAGCAAACACTCTTCGAGCGTCTAGTTTCTGATAACCATGCTTTAGCGTAATTTTTTTTCAGTTTACTCTTATATACAACGCAATTTTCAAAACTTGGTAGAAACTCTGTAGCTTCTTGGCTCCATAATTAATGTAGGAACGGGAGTTGTTAATGTTTATGGAAATTACCACAATTCGATGGCAAACTAAGATATTTTACAAGCCGTCAGGTGATGGTAATTTCCGAAAAGCCGCTCAAAATTCGAAAAATGCGCCGAATACTCCCCAAAAAATCGAGCAATATCATGGACGGACATGACATATTCATTTCTAAACGTTTGATGCGTGAGTTTTTCAAGAACAATTGTCGATATTTGTTTGCATATATTTCCGAGGCTTTCAATGACCACCTAAGGTCCCTTATTGGTAGTCTTGCGAGGCATTCAAATATGAAGACCAAGACTGTACTTTGGCATATTTGTGATACGAGTGAGCACTTGATGTGTTATTCTATTTATGCTGTGGGTACTAGTCACATTAAATATTATAAAAAGGTCGAAAAATTCAGTGCTGGCGGTCGGTGTCTTGTCGGTTTTTTAACTTTACTTTTTACTTAACCCCGCACGAAAGAGGATGGATAACCATTACTGAGAAACAAGAACAGGTGACAACACCTTTATCCCGGAAAACGCTAATGATAAAAGTAAGATAATTTCAGTTCTGATTATTTCCCCAAATACTCAAAGTACAAGTGTGAACTGGCAAGATCAAAGTGAACCGCTCTAAAGTTTTATGGACTTTCATTGGCATTAGATAAGAATGAACCGATGGCCAAATACAATTTGTGGCAAAAAGTACCATTTGCGCTTGTCTCAAAGTTGCCGTTCTACTTTGTCGCCTCAATGATGGCGGATGAAACCAACTGCAGAAAAATGGCTGAAGCTCACCCAAAAAAACTCTCAAAATTCTGGCCTTTGGAAACTCTACCATTGTTTCAATTACAGCGCGAAACAGACGGACGAAATCTGAATTATATCATTGCTAACATGGCGGCATCAGACTTGCTCATGTACGCATGTGAACCTTTACCGTTCCAAACAAACTATGGCAGATCGTACTTGATCCCCGTGCCTGACTGATAGAATGGACTGTAGGGGCCATTTTGTGCGTGCTCTTTCATTTCTTCCAAGATCTTTGAATAGCTGTGTCGATTCAAAGCCTGGGTATCGTTTCAATAAAAAGGTACAGACCCATAGTGCATCCAATCCTCCCCGCAATCATCACGCCAAAACGATATAAATTGATCATTTCCTCAACATGGTTCGCATCTGTGTCGCTACGTGGAATAGATTTCGACACCACTCGTCTTAACTCTCATAAAAACGCATTGACTTGTGATCTCAGTTAAGCCTGAGAGCTAACATTGACAATACCAAGACACAAGTGGAGTATAACACCGTGCTGTGAGTATCACCGGTTCTTGTACCTTTGTCTGTCATAACTTTCAGTTATTCAAAGACTTTCAGTTAGAGTCTGAAAAATAAAGAAGCTGTTATGAACTAATCTTCACAACAATTTCACCGGCAACGAGCTGAAAATACGAAATTTTTCAAGAACATTTGTACCATTGTGGTTTCATTTTGCATGTTGCGTTCATCCAACTTATGTGTATGGGATTTTATTTTCTTTTGTATTGAAATGGAAAATGCCATGTAATATGGACCAATATGGTGTCTTTCAGTTCTCATTTGGCCTTGAATTCAAACGCTACAATTTCCTCAGTGATGTCCGGTGTGTATAAACAGCTACCGCCGAGGGCTTTCGGAAGGTACATAAAAGCTAACTTTCTACTTAGATGAAAATAGGATAATTTTACTTTCCATATTTTCTAAATAATAAAAACAAGAGAATATAAACTGTACTTTATATTATCTGAATAATTGAAACTTAAATGTGGAAATTCATAAACAAAGGAAAAAAGGGTTTTCACAAATTTTCTAGCTTGACATTTTGATGATCTGAAATGACATATTTAAAACGCTTTACTCAAAGCTTTCGTGATAAAATTTAATAAAATTCGACTCCATAACAAATGCGTCATAGCTGGAGGAAACTTAATACGCGTCGAGACAATATTTGCACTTCATTCGAAAGATCCTCTGAATATTGTCAGACACACTAGTCAGCTGAAGATTAATTGAGCGAGCTGTAAATTACATATTATCGTAAAGGAGCTGGAAACATTTCTGAAATCATTAAAAATGAAAGAAGTCGCATTTTCCAAATTATAGGTGCACAGGAAACTACAGAAGATTTCCTTTTTAACCGCCCACAAGCTAATAAGATATTAAATATCAAGGCCGAGGCGCATTAATGCTTATTTTGTTTGGCGAAGTTATAAATCTGTCACCAAGTGACATAAAAAAGAGGCGACCCTAGTTTAAAAACTAATGAGAATTTTTGCTGATCGTTTAAATTGACCAAATCTTTAACAAAGGAGCCTAGCTTCTGCCACGATGGCTTCCAACTTTTAATCAAACACATACATTTGTTTTCATACCCATTTAACTGTCATATTATGTAAGAAATTTCTGGATATAATTACAGCGGAAAAGTAGAAAGTAGATGCTACCCTAAAAAAAGGCTGCTTACGGTAGTGCGCCAAGTATGCCAAAAAGAGCACTTCGTTATTCACTGAGACTAGAAGACAAAATTTCACAATAACCCGGACGCCGCTGAAAGAAGATCCATTCTTGACTTGTTTTCTCCGAGTCAGAGCTAAATTGGTTTGTGATTGACATTTCTGTCCACCAATAAAGTTGTGGTTAAAACATAGTAGATCGATGCGTCTGCTGCCAAAATTTTGAAATTACTAAATATTCTTTCAAGGTGGACCTGAATCTTAAGTGGGAGGAAATGAAAAATAACGGTTCCGTTGCGATATTATGTGAAAAACGTTAGAGTATAGCTTTCCAAAAATTCTTCAGTTGAATCAATTAAAGAAGAAACGTTGTCGTTAAGCCTTTTCAATTATTTATTATTTCACTGTCCCTTCTTAAGACTTCCCGGTTTCGGTTTCCTATTTTGAGAATCATCTTTCATAGGGCATCCTGTATTTACATATAAGGTTACGTGTTAAAGCAAATGCTTGCTTGTGGAGTTGTGTAGGAAATTTACAAAAAGTTCCTCTTTAAAAGAAAACAGTTTCCTTCCTCCCAATTTGAGATTTCAGAGTTTCTGCACAAACCCCACCAATTGTGCTTTAGAAGGTAAGCAGAATTCTTGATTGACTTATCTTTTTAGGCTGCCTTTGGCGAGACATTTTTATGGTTAGCAAAAGGACCGATTGAGAGCGCCTGAAGTAAAGCGAAGTTGAAGTTAGGTCTGAAAAGCCTTTTTTAGTAGTTCGTTGTTATACTGATAGATATCTAGGGCTATATGACTGCTCTGCCGGCTTGCAGAGCAAGAAAAAATTCATTTCTCAACTCTCATTGGGGCTGCGAATTGAGCTTGCGAGTTTGAAGGCTGTACGTGATACGAATGTGCAAAAGGTCTGTGACGGTCTATTTTGAATTCCTACCCCATGAAATTAAATATCCTTTCAAATTCTGATTTCACAACATTATAAGGCTGTAATGCAATTGAGATCCTTTCGACAAAGAGCTCAAGTTTACATCGTTTCGCGTCACTCTCTTTTCTTTCACGAGACTCCTTTAAGAATATCGACGATAGTAACATCCACTGCAGAGTTTACAAACGCTATGAAGGATTGGGAAAAAAATGAGAAGGAAAAAGACAAAAATGGAGAACTTAGAAAGGAAGAATGTAAAACCGATTGTAAATAACAAATGCTAATCGTTTTTTGACAGTTTCAGCGTAGTCATGGAAATGTTTTGGACATCTCGCTCCTTCATCTTTCTTTACCTTTGTTCTTTGATGGACTTTTCTACCGCTGAAGATAGATGCAAGAAAGAAGTTAACATACCTGGTATGGCTCTCAAGGGATTCGTCTTTAAAAGAATTTCAGCAACAGCCCCTCATAGGTGCGATATCGCCTGCGAGAGAGAAGTTGTATGTCAAAGCTATAATTATGTATTTGCGGAAAAGGTCTGTGAACTAAACAACCGAACAAAGGAAGCAAGCCCTGACAATTTTCGGTCAGACGAAGTACGGTTTTATATGAGACGCATGAACGGTCGAGGTACGTTTGCAGTTTAACCCTTTCACTCCCAAGATCTAATTTATAATTCTCCTTACTGTCTGTCATATAGTTCTTGTCATGTTAGTTTGGGGAACGTGGTATTGGATCAACTAAAAATCCCCTAGTTAATATTTTTATCCTCATCCCTTGTCTGCTTGATATTGTATTGATATTGTAAGGAGAAATTCTGTTTTGGTCACTCGTAGGAGTCAAAGGGTGATACAGTTTATCGTTATTTGTCATATAAATAATGTTATAAAATAATTCAAATAGTACGCGCGCTCTGATTGGCCATAAAACCATTTTACATGAGCGTATGTAAACACGGTTTTCGTTCCTCTTTCATTAGTTATTTTATAAAAGAAATGTAAAATGGTTTCCGTGTTTACATAGCCTGATGTAAACACTTGGGGGTTGGGAGAACACTCGATAAGCTGGAAACCACTCCGCTTCGCGTCGTGGTTTCCTACGCTTATCTCGTGTTCTCCCAACGTCCCGCGTGTTTACATCAGGCTATGTAAACACGGAAACCATTTTGCATTTCTTCAATGAAAACCAGAATTTTTCCTGTTTCAAAAATATGACAACTTCACCGCAGTGAATGTACCATTTTCTTTTTATCGCAGCCCCCTTAGGTTCATTACCTGAATTAGCAGCGTTATCGTGCCATGAGATAAAGTTAAGTGAGGGTAAAGACACAATCAGTAAAAAGTACTGGTTGGATCCTACTGGCATTGGGAAACCAGTGTTGGTTTACTGTGATATGAAAATGGAAGGTAAGTGATATTTCCTTTAATAAAATTTGAACTAAAGCGCTCTTCGATTGAGTATCTTAAAACGTAAAAACGGGCCAATCAGAAGGAAGGAAAATGCCTTTAAGAGCCAATGGGAACTCAGTGCAAACAACTAAACTTCTTAAAGCGCGGGAAGACGCGGGAAAATGCAGGCAACCCAGTCGTGATTAAAGGGGGTAAGTTTCCAAAGAAACTGTAGTTCTGCGTCTGTAGGAGAGTGTTGCAGGGTAATTTAGTATTGTCAACTGAATTGATAAAGTAAATTGGTCACCGTAAAGACTATCAAAGCTGACGTTTCATGCGTTAGCGATTTCGTCAGAAGACCTAGTCGTGATTTTATTTTTCATCTGATTGGTCGAGAAAGGGGCGTGCGTTTTCTGTACTTATCACAGAGCGAGGTACAGCAAAACCGAAGCAATCTCACTTGCCTATTTCTTAATTTTTTTTGTATGGAGCCGCTGGCTTTCTAAGTTTACTTTCAACTACTTTTCACTCAGATATTGATGAATGCAAAAGTGACAAACCGGTCTGTGACGTGAATGCAAATTGCATCAACACCTATGGCTCATATAATTGCTCCTGCAAAGAAGGATATACTTGGGATGGACGATCATGTTTAGGTAAAAACGAAGTGATTTTTAATTGCGCTTACTTTTTCGCTTCATTTAATAAATAGATTATGCGATGCCGTGCGCCTGCCAAATAATATATTACAGCTTACGTGAAAATGGGGTAAGAGCAAAAGAGCGGTACACGAAAAGCGGCCGGGTGAGTTACCGATGTTCTTACCACATGTTGACGTCTTTTGTGATCTATCACTGGACAGAAACATAACAACAGGAAATATATTTGTTTGATACGATGAAAAATAAAATGTTGTTAATGGTGACGTCATCTAAGCGTCTGCCTTCCGATAGACCATATATAAGAACCAATCAAAATGCGTGTATAATTCGGCTCATCACATAATAATTTATTTATCATACGATACTTCTGCTTAAGTGGTAGACGTGTTGGTAATGTGAATGGAAACTGCACCATCACAGGTTTTAAAACAAACATAAAATTTTCTATTTCTTTTTTTTTTTAAAAAAAAAGCTCTTCGTCATCCCTCCGTATCGTTTATGCGTCGGGTTTAAGTAGGCGACCATTTTTTGTTATCCACCACACAGTGAAACCTCAAGTACGATGGTTGTTCTTAACCTGATAAACGTATCTTCCCACAGAAACTCAGCGTAGGCAAAAGTCAACGCGAGTTACAAAACTGCCGAAAAAATAAGATCATTGGAGAAAATGCGTATTGTTCTTGCGACATTTAATTACAGCAGAAACGAACTTATAGAGCAGTGATATTAGCAACAAAACGTGTACTCGTTGATTTTTATTGCACGATATTACGCGCGTTTTCTTCCGCATGGAATACTTCCCTAGCTCATTGACTTATTTAGGAAGGAGTGGCGGGGGTAGAGGAACAAATGCCTCTTAAATCATATATACTCGAGCTTTATGCTCGATCTCTCTGAAACTCCTGCAATCAACAAACACGTTACGTCATTGCAAACCCATGATGGTTTAAAATTTGAAAGTTTCAAATCATTAATCGTAAGGAATTCCGAACCGAAATCCACACGTCACATGACAATAAACCCTTATTTACGACCACAATTGCCATTTCATCTTCTAGCCGATGCATGTTTCCACTACAAAAATCTGAGTGACGCTACAAGAAAGAGCACATACAACACAAGCCATGACGTCTATGATGACGACAAACTCTCTACGGGCTGGTACCGTTTTATGGGAGCCGCAGGAACAAAAATGCTAACAACGTGTGTTCCGGAATTCAGATGTGGCACATATTGGTCGGGCTGGCTCAATGGTAGCCATTCTACAGTGGAAGATGGTGAAGTAACTAGGACGGTATGCTTTAGAAGAGGTTCCTGCTGCAGGTATACAGTGAAAATTTCTGTGAAAAGCTGTGGATCCTATTATATATACAAACTCTTTGCGACACCAGATAGTAATATGCGCTATTGTGGTTCAGACTGAATGTCGACTAACTTCGCGTTGTGAGAGAATTTTTAGATCGGGCTTTAGTTCCATTAACATGTACGTCTGTGAATAGATTTAGTCCTCTTTTTTTCTCGTAGTAATTATTATTGTCATACTCAGCAACATTATAAAATAGATTGTGGTTTTTCATTGTGGTGAATAACGCTTTCAAAGGAGAGGTATTATCGTTTGTCTCACAGTGTGGTCACTTCGGATGTGGATCGAGACGTGCCGAATGCATACTGCTAGTCTTCTTAAGACGATGAGGGCGGGATCTGTTGTTCGAGGCTGTGATTAGATGGAATTTCACGACTATGATTGGCGCATCTTCGGAAGGTTCCCTCAGCGGTCCGCAGCCACACGGCTCCTCTGTTGTTGTGTCTGTTGATCTTCAGCATTCAGGCTTCTTAGATTTCTGCCTCACTGTCCCTGTTGATGTTGTTAAGGTGAAGTCTTATGCGAATTGTCTCTTTCACCTTGCGCGTATAGAAATGGGGATCTCGATCAATAAACTTTATTTCGTTCAAGAGCGGGCGGTGACTAGTGTTGTGGGCAAGCTCTGAAATGGCGAAGTTCTGCGTCCTAGTGAGTCGGATATTCCTGTCGTGCTCCCTGATCCTCTCTTGCATAGATCTTCCATTCTTATCGATGTAGGCTTTGCCGAATCCACGGGGAATCCTGTGGACTACGTCAACCTGTTTTGCTTGGTCATCAGCATCGTTCGGTCGTACTAGGTATGACCGTAGCGTCGTCTCACTTCCAATACATTTTTGATTATGGAATGATACTACAGACAGTTGTTTTACTTTTTTTTTGTATATTTTGTTTTTTGCAAACTGATCCAATAAAGTGGAAATAAGGTTTAAAATCACAATAAAGGGAAATGCCATCCCATAAAAGGCGTATTAACTTATTTGCGTTTCATAAAATTTCATTTCTCTGTTAGAGGAATCTCCTTCCTTCTCGTATGGACGTAATTAAAATCCAACGCTGATGGTTTAAGTTTAATTCATCAGTGAACTAAATTAACTGTGTGAGCAGACCATGTTGATAACCACGCGAAGTTTGGAGATCACGCAAGATGCTGAAGAATTACTGCTCGAGGCATAGCCACAGGCAAATCTGGCGTAATCAGTGCTCTTCAAATTGCTCAAGCGCTTCATATCTCCATAAACGCACAGCTGGCATATGAAGCAATTTTGTCATGACGTTTGCGCGCAATAGATTTGATGTTGTTCAGAGAGAAATTCCTTCTGCTCTGCTTCCATTGCTACCTATGTTACGATCAATTTTATAATAATCAACACTCATTGCCATACAATAAATTTCATTCCCCTCGGTTTGGGGTGTTTGTGTTAAACTATTTATTTTTTAGGGATGTAATTTCTCTATTTAGTACCTAACTACTAAACCCTGTCTTTTTTTGTCATTTTAAAGGCTAAAATCAGCGAAAAGACGTTGGGAAGCTCTCGATGCTTTCACTATAATTTGTGTCTTCATAATTTGATTCAATCTATCGCTATATGGCGGCTCGAGCGGGGTGAACTATTATGCCGAAAAAAAAAAAACTTTCTTTATAAAAATCTTTCCTCAGTATCAAGCTGTTTGTTTCACCTTCAGAGAGTAATGGTGTACATTTGATTCAATTTGCCGCTATATGGCGGCTCATCGGGGTGAACCATTATGCTAGAAAAAAACCTTTATAAAAATCTTCCCTCAATATCAAGCTCTTTGTTTCACCTCCAGAGAGTACTAATGTACCTGAAAAAACGACGTATTCTGATTGGCTGAAAACAAGGGCATTCTCAAGTAACACGAGTGCAAAGCTGTAACCCACGGGAGCAAATGACAGATAGCGCGCACGCATTCAATAATTTCGTCTGTCTTTTCTTTCTGAGATGTTGTTTTCATGTAAATTATGAAAAAGTAATCGCATAATTTCTCTCGCAATTTGGTGTAATAAGCACTCGCAAATTTTTCAAAGACTAAAAATTGCACACGCCCTATGGGTTTGTGCAGTTTTCCTATCTTTGAAAAATTTATTCGTGCTCATTAACATCAAATTGCACTGAGAATCATGTTATTGCCTACACAGAACAAACCGAAACTAGGAAAAAAAAACGGCTTTTAGCATCGCAAAGTGTTGAAAAACTGCGGATTACGGTGGTTTGGTTGAGCCTTCAAGGCTCCAATTTGTCTGATGTGACATGACTGGAGGAAGTGGGCTTAAAAAGGCCCTCCCGCATATAGTCTTACTTGGCTGAATTCATTATGAACCCTTTCACAAATCGTTAACAGGAGTTTATTTTAATTATTTTTGCTGAACTTTACAAAATTGACGGAGGAAAATCGATGAGAGGAAATGGATAGCAGTTATTCACCGAAGTGGGGTTATATATCCACAGCCATCATCGACACTGAGGTAAATAACTAATTTTGTACAACATACAAGAGACGAAAAAAAAAACTCATTACGGTCCATACACCATAAAATAGTAGGAAATTAAACTTCTGACGCGCGGTTTTGTCTCTATGGCTGCTCGGAGGTGACAAGTACTTGATAATCACTTCCGAGCTAGCCCATAATTACACGCTAAAAGGATTGTTCAAGTGTGTAGTATCTACTAGAGGAAGATATTGATATAAATATATAATACTTAATCTATTGAGCGTAAGCCCTATTCCCGTTTTACGGTAACATTAGTCTCTTCTTAGTATGACTGAAAAAGCTCGGGTCTTCTGAAGTTTAATTGATGGGGAGAGACTCATTTAAGACACTTGCATGCACTGCCTTCGTTGATGATTTTTCTTAAGGAAAGTTCTGGCGCCAGTTGTTCGAATAGCTCTCAAAATGGTCTGTCTTTCGAGGAATAGAGCCACGAATGGCGATTCGGAGCGCATTTTGATTCAATATCCCAAAACTAAAGCTAAACTAATATCGGCCGCTAAGAGGGATGAAAGAGAGTGCCCCAGGTGACCCAGAGCCCTGAAACTCAAAGTAGGCTGACAAAAGCTTTGAGCTTTGTTGTTGACGGGCTGAGAAATTGTAGCAGATGTTCTTCACCAATTTTACAGCGAAAGTGAAGAAAAACCACTAGATAAGTGGATCACTTAGACACGCTTTTCAAAGCTGCTTTATCTTATAGATAATATTATTAAAACTTGTCTCGAGTGGACCTTTTCCTTTGTGATAACTGCCACGAAAACACTGAATAACCACTTCTTTAGGTGTTAAATGCGGCTAGCCGCTTAAGAGAACCGACTCTGACTCAGTTATTTTGAGATCGAACCTTATTTATGTTTTGGTACATTTTCGTGTATATTCAACTATTCGTTATTCTGCATCATATCAGCTCAATTTCCTTTATAATAGACAGTTCATAAATCCATTTTACTTTATTTTCCTCATGTATCTTTGTCTTTGTGCTTTCAATTTGGTCAGTTTTACTCTACTTAAAATGTCAGCCTCTCATAAAGATGTCCACACAAAGCTGTCCACGTAAAGCTGTCCAAAGACTCCTTCAGAAAGAGAACCAAAAATGGTATTTTGTACTTTTGAAAGCTCTCCATGTTACTATCAAATTCCATGTTGTTCCTGAGGCACACAAACGTTCAAACTGATGAAAAGCTTGTAATCCCCGAATCTCTTACACTTATTCGCTCGTTTCCGCAGTGGATTGAAGCTTTTTTTAATTCTAACTCATCCAGGTTTGAAATGTTTCCGACGCCGTCTTTTCCCCAAAAATGTTTTGATACTGTCTTAAACATGTCCTTTAAACCTTGGCGATATCTGTCAAAACGCACCAATGAAATGATGGGGGATATGGCAGAGTTTGAAATTAAAGCGAACCTTGAGAACACACCAAACTGAATCATATTACAAGGAGGTTTCCATTTCCACACGAAGTAAAACAAAATAGCAAAAATATCAATTGGGAGGACACAACATGCAAATGCGATCATAATAGCACATACGTTCTTAAAAACTCTGCTGTTTTCGGCGCGATGCTGGGAAACCTCTGAATTTCTCAGAACCCAAAGAATTCGTGAGTAAGTAAAAATTGTGAAGCAAAAAGGTAGGAACACAATTAAAACCAAAACCACTACCACAAATCGCTCCATCGTTTGACGATTGTCAAATTGTGGGTCCCAGCGGAAGTCGCAGGTTGTTGTATTGTTAATAGACTCGAGGCGAGCGGCGTAGAAATATATTCCGTGTAGGGATACAGATGCAAGCCATATAAGTGGAATGATGAACTTACATCTCTTTGGTGTAATGACTGCGGGGCGAAACGGATATACTATCGCCCTATATCTTTCCATAGAAATAACAACTAAGCTTTGAATCGAAACAGCTGTTGAGATATCTTGGCAGAAAAACACAAGCTTGCATAAAATTGAGCCCATGATCCCATCGATTAGCCAAGCTCGTTCACCAAATATGACTTGGCACAGTTGATTTGGAACAGCGAAGATTGAGACCAGCAAGTCTGATGCTGCCATGTTTGCAATGAGGTAGTTTATTGAAGTCAATGTGCGGGAGTTTCGTGCAGTTATGGCGATAATGGCGGTATTTCCAAGTAGCGAAGTAATAAGTATCAAACTGTAACACAGAATCTTGACCAGTTTTATCGGAAAAGACTGGTCTTCCAGATTCCCACAAACAGTTGTGTTTGCCATAGTGGTTTGAGTAGAATACCTGCCGAGAAAAGAGAAATTCATAACTGGGTTAAAATCATTCGTTACATGAAGATGACAGATCAACTTCAAAATCATACATTTGCTCACGTACTGTAAAAGTTAACATGCACTTTATGCTTATGTGAGTTCCGCCAGCGTTATTCCATTTGCGCGAAACGTCAAAGAATATTTTAATTTTCTGTGAAACGTGATGTTTAAGTTTAATTATTTTTCCGTGATCCATGATCCTTGTCGAGGAAACATGTAGCCGTGGGCGTGAAGGAGGATTTAAACTCTATTTGATTGGTGAGTCGTCTTTTTTTGCGGAGATTGAAAAAATTTATGGTTATTTTGGCGTTTCAATTAGTTTATAAATCAGATGTTTTCAGCGCTCGAATTTGAAGTACTTTTAAATGGTTTTGAAAAGGTAAAATTGAATTCAAATGCAAAATTTGTTGATAATATCCTTGAGATTTTCCAGCAATGGTGGAAAATGAGAAGATTGAGCGATTTGCATTGTGAAATAATAAGATGCTATATTATTTTCATCATATTAATAATATCTCAAATAGTTTATTTAAAATCAATCTTATAACGGACTATAGGTTTTCTCTCCATTTAAGGATTTAATCCTGACACTTCGTGATCGATATCAGCGATGGCTTATCATGAAACTCATAACTCCTCTTGTCTTGACTAAATGTAGAAACCAGAGTTAGAGTAATTCTAAAAGCTTAATAGTTAATAATTTACAACAATTTACAATTAATAATTTACAACCCTTGAACTTGAAAACAATCCAATCCGAAGATTCGTTAAAAATTTCACTTACTCCGAAGCGCTCGGAGTTTACAGGTGTTCAAAAGCTTTTTCTGTTATGGCATGAGATTGGGGACAAAAGCGATCATTACATTTCGTATCGTGTGTTTTTTCAGTGTGAAGCAACAAAAGGTGCCGGCGACTAACGAAATTACAGGTTAACACGAAAATCAAATAACACCTAAACAAATAATTTTGGCTGCCGATTTTCAGTGAATTTTCAAAGAACAATTTTCTTTAAAGGTTCAAGACAATTTTAAGTTTCAAAATAAATATTACGCACTAAAATGCGAAAGTTATACACTACAAAATTAATAAATAGGCCTGAAATGAAATTCTATCTTCGTCTTGATTACACGTTGCCTAGCACTTGACCAAAATCTACCCAGGCGGAAATCCAAAATGACGGTGGCAGTCTGGGCTTCGTTATATCGCTCAAAACTCATTCCCGTTTGTCTCATTTGATAAAGAGGGAATCATTGATGTTTTCATTAAGACAGTGTTGCCTTGATTTTCCAATATTTTCAATGATAGACAGTAAATTTCACTTTTCATCTACATTTACTTCCAACCTTTTCTCTTGAACCAGAAACAAAAGTGATATATGTTTAAAACACATGACATCATCCACCCTTGTCAAATGATCACTTCAATTGTAATGCCTTCTTATCCCAACGTTACTTTGTTTCTTTGCTACATTAGCGAACACTGAACTACTGCTCGTACTATAAATATGACAAATCAACCACAAAATTCCCTAAAAGCAGATAACATGAAACATAATCCAAAAAATCATGTAAGTCATCTGTCAATTCACGAGTTTGCTCACAGAGTACTTTTATTGTTTACTGATGCTAAACAGTTTCCTTTTTGTTAATATGGAGAGAAATAAATGATATTCGCCTTTAGTAACAAAACTTTGTCATGAAAAGACATGTATTGGTTGCATAGTGGCATTTTTTACTGCCATGTTTCCAAAAGTTAAGCAAAATTTCAATTTAACCCTGAGCGAAGCATAGCCTTAGTTTATAGGTCGGGCGTTATCAACTAAATCAAATGGCGACCTCATTGAAGATTGTTAATTTGTGTGTGCCAATACGAATAGATTTTAATACAAACCTTTTTTTGCTTAGCATCGGTTGCTGCACAACTGAATTAAAAGCGGACCAGTTAAATGGATCAGATACGTAAAGTAGAGGTTTGGAATAACTGTATCGCTCATATCAACTGAATTTGAAGCTAATTGGAGTTGCTCTATTGCTAATAGCCAGGTTGAATTCAATTTAATTAAAAAGAGTCATTATTTAATCGAGAAGGCAACTAATCTGACCGTGAGTTTCTCTTTGAAAACAATAGATGAAAATGCGCATATAAATGTTCATAGGGAGACTATATTTACTTCTGATGAAATAAAAAAAATAGAAATTTTTGTTTTTTAATTTATCATGAAGGCTCGACTCCACAAAAAACGCGGTGTTCAGTATATGCTTTTCAACAAAGCATTCGTAGGATGCTCGTCTAAATTTTTAGTAGTCTAAAGTCAATAGTAGACAGACAGCATCAAACAGAGAAACCAAGCTGATCTGAAGATTAGCTGCTGTTAGACGTGAACTGTAATTCCCGCCGATCCTCTCTGTGATAAGAACCCGCAACTGAGTAATAATTACATGTAGTACATGTACAAAACTTTGAGTCCCTAGAAGATCCTTTCCCTGTAAATATAGCAAATATAACATGTCTTGTCTTAAAATTCAAAATCTGTCGATAAAACTGTGTAAGGCCAGCCTGTTTAACTATTGTCTATAGATAAACGAATAACGCTATCGAAAATATATCTGCCGGGAATTATTAATTATTTCCTTTTCCGCGCGATTGCGGTAATAACTTTCGAGCGAACGAGAAACTCTTCAGACGTTTTTCGGGGAATAACACGAGACGGCTGCTTTGGTTTTTAAGCAAATCAATATTTACATTGAAGCGAGGTAAGGTTTTAAACGAACTGATGATTTCGCTAAGTGTCTGAACGAAGGGAATACTTGTAAATATACTGCTCTTTCCTTGATTTGGGGATAATTAGCTGATCCAATACTAAACTCGCTGAACTAGCATCATAAGAATTGTATGGTTGACACTAAGGAGATTTACAATTTTGATATGTAGCTTTCTGATCCTTTTCAGGCACAAACCTCTCACTTTTTGTTTACTGATGCTAAACAGTTTCCTTTTTGTTTATATGGAGAGGAATAAATGACATTCGCCTTTTAATAACAAAACCTTGTTATGAAAAGACATGGATTGGTTGCATTAATGGCACTTTTTACTGCCATGTTTCCAAAGTTAAGCAAAATTTTAACACTGAGCAAAGCATAGCCATGGTTGATAAGTCGGGCGTTATCAGCTAAATCAAATGGCGACCCCATCAAAGATTGTTAGTTTGTGTGTGCCAATACGAATAGATTTTAATACAGAATTTTTATTGCTTAGCATCGGTTGTTGCACAACTTAATTTAAAGTGGACCAGTTAAATGGTTCAGACATGTAAATTAGAGGTTTTATTGGATTAGCTGTATCGCTCCTGTCGACTGAATTTGAAGCTAACCTGAGTTGCTCTATTGCTAATAGCCAGGTGGAATTCAATTTAATTAAAAAGAGTCATGATTTAATCGAAAAGGAAACTAATCTGACCGTAAGCTTTCTCTTTGAAAACAATAGATGAAAAATGCGCATATAAATGTTATTCGGGCGACTATATTTACTTCTGATAAAAATGTAAAAAAAAAATCAAATTTGTTTTTTTATTTATCATGAAGTCTCAACTCCATAAAAAAACGCGTTTTTCAGCATATGCTTTTCAACGAAGCATTCGTAGGATGCTTGTCTAAATTTCTAGAAGTCTGAAGTTAAGAGTAGACATACAGCATGAAACAGAGGAACCAAGCTGATACGAGGATTAGCTGCTGGAAGACGTGAACTGCAATTCCCGCGGACCCTCTTTGTGATAAGAACTTGCAACTGAGTAATAAGATCCTTTCCCCGTAAATATAGCGAATATGACATGTCTTGTACCTATTAAATCTCTCGATAAAACTGACAAGTTCTCATTAAACGATGGATTTTAATTTATGTTCGCGGGCATAAATTTGTTTTGGGCCCAACAAAGTCATTTCAACCCGAGCTGCTAAGCAAGGGTTAAAATGTCTCTGACAAGGACCCAAATAAACCTTTCTTACTTTAATTATCACTTTGGAGGGCTGACATGACAACAAAACACCTTGAAAGATTATTCGAGCGGGTTAAAATAGATTTTAGCTCGCCAGGATCTCCATCTTAACCCGCAAAGTGAGCCACAATGCCCAAGAAATAGATATTATTTCTCTTCTACGTACATACCTTTTTTTGCCTTGTTTTTCTTTCCCGAGGCTATCCACTTTTTCTAAGACAGCCTCTCTGAATACTGCAGCAAATTATTTTGGCGATATTTATATTGTACGTATTCAAATTGCTGATGGCTCGAATGAACTGATTACTTTTGAGTCCACCGCAGGAAATGATAAAACGTCTTCAGCCTTGGAAGCGAAACATAACAACAAAATGATAAACCAGCTTGTACAGCGTTCTTTCCTCTTAAAAAAACCCATTAAAGTGCTCGGTATAATGATAAACCCATTAAGCAAATGTACCGTGTCGTCGTTGTTTACCGATGAAATTCATGTTTTTTCTTTTAAAAATTTTGTGTTGCTTCTGTAAATAGAAATTTAAAGTTATAAACAAACTTTTGTCACACATGCAAGTCTTAATATGTTAAATGACAGAGGTAGCTATGACAACTTAACCTCCATGAAGCACTTCTGCCGAATTTTCAACCAAAAGCGCGATAAAATTATTCTCAGAAGAAATGAAACTGTCAATCTGGAGTCCTGTCAGATATCCAGCGGAAACTTTCTTTGAAAAGCGCTAAAGCTTTTATTTTCCAACCGCTGATTCAGTATCAGCTGTCTGTTGACAACCCTCAATGGGTTAAATTAGGACATATTCAGTTTTCATGTTAATCAAAAATAGTTATCTCCCTCTTGCCGTCAAAATATTTTGAACTCAGTCCATTTAAGGGTTAAACGTCCTTCCCGAAAGTCTCAATGTATAATTAATTATTTCTCATTTCGGTATAATTTGATTTACAGTTTTGTCGTAATCACAGCAAGC